TGCACTCCAGTCCGGGTGACAGAGTGAGACTCCAACTCAAAAAAAAAAAAAGTGTTCACAGCATACCCACAGCGTCTGTCTTTACAGCCCAGGGGAAATTGGAGCCAAGCTTGTCCAGGGCTCCCAGACAGAAGTAGGGGATACGTGTAGTCCCTCATCCCAGCCTCCCAAAAGGTGACAGAACGGAGGTAGACCCATGAATTTGGGTTAAGGGCAGAACCCTACCAGGAGTGGGCCACACTTAGCCAGAACTTTTCAACAGGTGGCACAGGCCAAAGGCAGGACTCTCCCATCTTGCTTAGTCTAAATACCATTTTCATATGGTTTAAACAAGAAGTTGGGCCAGGCGCTGTGGCTCATGCCTGTAATCCCAGCACTTTGGGAGGCAGAGGCATGAGGATTGCCTGAGTCCATGGGTTCAAGACCAGCCTTGGCAACTTGGCGAGACTTCATCTCTAAAATAAAAAAATAAATTGCCCAGGCATGATGGAGCATGCCTGTGGTTCCAGCTACTGTTTGTTTGTTTGTTTTTGAGTTGGAGTCTCATTCTTTCACCCAGACTGGAGTGCAGTGACCGCTCCTGGCCACCGCAGCCTCGACCTGCTGGGCTCCGGAGATCCTTCTACCTCAGCCTTCCAAGTAGCTGGAACTACAGAGGCGTACTACCACACCCAGCTAATTTTTAGATTTATTGTAGAGATGAGGTCTCGACAAGTTGCCCATGCAGGTCTCAAACCTGCGGGCTCAGGCAGTCCACTCACCTCAGCCTCCCAAGGCGCGGGATTATAGGCTGAGCCACCGAGCCCGGCTGGTTCCAACTACTTGTAAGACTAAGATGGAAGGATCACCCCTCAGCAGGTTAAGGCTGAGGTGGCTATGAGCATGCTACTGCACTCCAGCCTGGGCGACAGAGTGAGCTCCGACTTGGAAAAAAAAAAGAAATGGAGACTCAAAGCATTTGCTGGAGGTTATTGGGCTGGGCTCTACTGACTGCCCTTCCCAGAGCTCAGTGGAGATAGGTCCCTAACCACAGACAAGGTCAGACAAGTCACACTCCAGCCCTGGAATGAGCTGGGCCTGGGATGCCTGCAATGTCCTGGATAGATAGATAGCCAAGATAGACAGGGATGGGGGGGAGACGAGGACGACACACAGACAATTGAGGACAAAGAACGAGACCTGGAGGATGCCTGGAAGGGGAGCTAGAGAGGTCTTCTGGTGACCACAAGGGGCAGGAGGATGCTAATGGGGCAAGATGGTGTCTGGGGGAGTCGGTTCAGCTCTGAGGGCTGCTGAGATAGGGCACTGATCTTGTGAATTCTGCATGCTGAAGGGGGAGACAGGTGGGTGAAAAATAAGGGCCAGGAGCCTGGGCCAGAACTCTGCCACTTTTGTGTGCAACAGAAACCCCAGGATTCCTTGGCACCCAAGCCAGGCTTTGAGCTCACGGTGGGCATCACCATCCCCTGAGTCTGGCTGTACAGGAGCTATTTGAGAATGATTCCTCCATGTTCCCCTGGCTCAGGCCTAGTAGGGGGGCAGGTGCAGGTGTGGGAGCCCTGCCTGGCCTGCCCTGTAGGATTGGGTTGAGCCCAGGGCCCCCAGGCCTAGCACAACCCACTGCCTAAGGATGCCCTGACTGGATTTGCAGGGCCTGGAGTAAGGCAGGGTTGATCCCAAATCTTGAGAGGCAGCAGGGCTGGGGCTTCTTATCCTTTGTCCCCCTCCCCCACCCCTTGAGGGGCTGCTCTCTGCACTCACAACCGTTCAGTGTGTATGCATGCACACACATGCACAGGCT